TTAAATTCCTCATTTTTATCCCCTTTTCTGTATCTAATGCCCCATTTTCACCCTTCCCTGGTTTAAATCCCCCTCTCACCTGTCTGAGCTGGCTGAGGTCGGATTTGTTGCCCACCAGCACCACGGGGGTGTCGTCGTTGCGGCGCACGCGGTAAATGAGCTGCTTGAAATCGCGAACCTCGTGGAAACTGCGCCGGTCCGTGATGGAGTAACAGATGATGAACCCCTCACCAGCACGCATGTACTGATCCCTCATGGCTGTGAACTCCGCCTGGGGCACAAAATCGGGGACAAATCAGGAAAAAATCACATTTTGCGGTGAAAAATTCACCTCCTGTGCTGTGAATTCACCTCAGAACCCGCTGGGTGAATGCGCGGCATTGACGTCCCACAATCGAGAGTTTGGGGTGATCCCCGGTAACAGAAACCCCACTAAGATGGGATTGACCAGGGAAAAACCCGAGCTTAAGTCAAGTTTAAGGTACTGGCAGCAACAAAAAGAGCTCAAAATCCCAAAATTTGGGAAAAAAAGAGACTTTTTTTGTAGGATTTCAGACGGCACTGAGATGGGATTTACCAGAGAAAAACTCGAGTTTTTGGGGTCAGTTTTGTAGGATTTCTGTCCCCACTGAGCTGAGATTTCTCCGCTCCCTGATGGAGTAACAGATGATGAAACCCTCACCAGTGCACATGTACTGATCCCTCATGGCCGTGAACTCAGCCTGGGACACAAAATCATGAAAAAAATCACATTTTTGGTTTTTTTTAGGGTGAAAAATACACTCTGAACCCGCTGGGTGAATGCGCGGCATCGGCATCCCACAATCGAGAGTTTGGGGTGATCCCCGAGGTTCTCCGGGCACAAAAACCCCACTGAGATGGGATTGACCAGGGGAAAACTCGAGTTTAAGTCAAGTTTAAGGTGCTGGCAACAAGAAAACGCTCACAAAAAGAAAAGGAGCTCAAAACCCCAAAATTTGGAATAAAAAAGATACATTTTTCGCAGGATTTCTGTCCCCACTGAGATGGTGAAAAACTCGAGTTTTTGGGTCAGTTTTGTGGGATTTCTGTCCCCACTGAGATGGTGAAAAATTCGAGTTTTTTGGGTCAGTTTTGTAGGATTTCTGTCCCCACTGAGCAGGGATTTACCCGCTCGCTGATGCAGAAACCCTCACTGGCGTGCACATACTGATCCCTCATGGCCGTGAACTTCGCCTGGGGCACAAAATCAGGGAAAAATGGGGAAAAAATGAGAAAAAAAAGACATTTTTTGGGTTTTTTGTTCACCAATGRCTGGTATTGATCACCTGGCCCGCCGTGTCCAGGATGTCCAGGTTGGCCGGTTCGTCGTCGATGCGGATCCGGATTTTGTAGGCGTCCTCTGAAAAATCCCAGATCAGCAAAAATGGGGGGATAAAGCACAGAACTCATCAAAAATCATATCCACTAGTTATATTTACAGATATTTACATATCTAATCATTAATATATTCTATTGATTGTATTTTATATTTATATATTYATATATTTATATTGGTTATAATATATATTATAAATATGTACTTATTATAAATACCACACACATATAAACATATCTATCTACAAACAGATTTTATACATAAATACCTTTATAAATATGTATTTTTATATGGAATTATAATTATTATATTCTATAAATAT